TGAACGCGCAACCTTCCACGGGCACTCGAGTAAATTGTATCCGAGATCAGACGAGTTGGTCAAATGGTGGTGGCATGGGCAACTACCACCAATGGAAAGCTTCCTCGAATGACAAAATACTGGTTTGTGGGTGGACGAAAACAGTAGTTGCTCACCATTTCTGGAGCGACGAACTTGTGGAGTGGTAGATCGCATATCTGATCCAGCTGTTAGATCCTCTTCGGGGCTCCANNTTTAGATGAATTTTCGCCGGTCTGTTCAGGAACGGATGAAGTTGTAATTGGACAAGGGGGACACAGTAACAAGGTTAACCACCGACATTTTGGACTCATTCGCACACACGAACTCGTGATCTAGTCAAAACTGACTTAAAAATGAACATCTTTTTTCTTAACCATTGAGGCTTTATTTGCCAGCATAATCCTCAACATTGAGTACATTGTGTAATTTATGAAAGGTAGCTTATGTAACATAGTGTAGATGAGGATCGTGAAGTGAACTGCATTACACAAAATCGTAATCCTATTACTGTCATACTAATTAAAGTCTATTTTTTGAAGGTTCAGAGTGATTCCGTTTTGCTGAACCCGGAACTGGAATATTTCGGGCGTATAATCTACTTTTACCCTTTCTGGTCTCTCAGAAGACGTGTGAACCCCGAGAAAATTTCAAGCTGAAAGTCGGTCATCTCTAAGTAATTTTTCGGAACACTTTGCTACTGATTTTGATCATCCTACACGGTTCTGACTTCTTGGAATTTGGTTGTTCCCTTCACATGTCCAAATATGTTATTTTCGATAGACAACTATTTCGACCATGCTGAAACTTGTTAGCACTGTGTTCTTTTTACGTCGCTGTTCAGACTCTAACTCATAAATCATAGAGCTGGGAAGATGAAATCCTGAACGCTTTGCTACGCGATCGACTGACTGCAAACTGCGTTTGATAGTAGGTCTGCATCATTTAAAGATATTCCTGTTCCAATAAATCGAATATATCATAAATTATTACTGGGTGAAACATGCATCGCGCATGTGTCACTAGGTTGAAGCCAAAGTGCGAGTGAAACCGAATTCGATTAGAGGGTAACAACGTCCCTATGAATGAGCGACCAATCGTTACCATTCAGCTAGTTTGTTCTGCCAACGATTTCTCTGGCATTTTTGTCCACAGTCACGGCATCCGCTTAGTTTTTATTTTCTGGTGTCTCACTTGTAAAAATATATACAAGTATGTATGCACCAATCATATTTATTTCTGCACACAGACCCACACACACATAACTCTAAAGGCCTGAAGACGAAGTTACGAAAACAAGCTTGTTCACTATATTGTTTGGCTTTTAATTTTGAAAACTCGTGTAGCAAAATTACGTTCCTTAGATTGGTTGCTCCTAACACTCGGTGTTTCCAGCCTCATACTCGGAATTGTATATAATGTTGCTTCACATCAGATACAAGGTATCTGCAATAATATCCACTCAGCTTTATACTTCTGTTATTCGAATGGCATTACAGTGTACGATTTCGAAGACGGTTGCTGGTGCGTCAGTAGCACAACAACAAAACATCATTAGAATCTATTTATAAAAATGACTCATGTGCATGATAGAGATATTGGACCTGCATTATGTCAAGGTTCAATTTGCCCTATTTTACTTTTAAACACTGAAGCGGATCTGTTCTGCATGGAGTCCACCATGTTGGTTGTCAGACAGCATGTGCTAGTGATAGGCAAAAGATTTACGAACCTTGCAGTGGGAGATAAAGTTCAGAATAAATAGCACTCACTCATAGTTATCTATAGACAGGTATGATACTGGAAATTGAAATGCATTTCCGAAGCAGGATTCCTGTAGCACATGTTCGATCAACACCTGATTTTCGTGTCTATCCCACTCTTGAGGTATTTACCGTTTCCTCAAGCGTTAAACACATATTTACCTTTAATAAAATTAATGTAATGGCCAACAAAATGCAGAGCGCTCCTCGCCGGTCATCACACCAACTTAATAATATTTAATTCATTCTTTTCAGACAAGAGAGTAGTATCTACGTTATCAGGTTTATAAATATTTTGAAGTGGAGTGTATAAATGTATATATATATATATATATATATATTAACTGAAACACTTAGATCCCCTAATGAATCTGAACAGGCAAGTCAGAAGACAAAAACTACAAGAGGAATTCCTTTCGTATACTGTCATCGGTCGCGTGCGTATAACATACAACAAGACAGACAAATGGAGGGATTGAGGAAATCTAGCTAGGTTTACTCGTGTGTGTATATATATGCACGTGTGTGTGTATATATGCACATGTGTGTGTGTGATCTCTTTCAACCAAGCGCCGGGCGATGACCGAGGTTGGTCTACATGGGGTAGTCAAGATCTGTGATGTAGGCTGAATCATTGATTACCGCACGTACTTGGGGGTGCGTTCGGCTATTCTAAAGTCTCGTGGGAGTAATGGAGTAATTGATTCAATTTCAAGGGTGAAATTCGTCGTGTATATAGCAAATGAAGCGTGAACTGAAAAGCTAGGAAGCACTGGACAGCTACTTCGATCTGGTTGGTTCTCATCAGCAGTGCGAACCCATCGACCCAACTGAGGATAGAACCCGGGACCTCACGGCAGGATGCATGCTACCCACTCGGCCACCGGACAGCTGATCAGACCGTTTATCAGGGTTTGCGGCCCGAAACAAGCTCGCAAAAATGGTTGTGCTATATCTTGTAAATGGAAAATGAAAAACGGTCTGATCAGCTGCCCGATTACCGAGTAGAGAGCACGCTTGCGTTCTGCCTGTGAGGTCCCTGGTTCGATCCTCAGTTGGGTGGCTGAATTCGCACTGTTGATGAGGCCCAACCAGGTTGAAACAGCTGTCCAGTGCTTCCTAGCTTTTCAGTTCACGCTTCATTTGTCTTATACACGACAAATTTCACCTTATTCTATAATTAGCACTGATCGATCGATTCTGCCAATGTATGCTTCGTTGCAGCTGACTGGCGACCTTTGAACAGGATGAGAAGACGCCGTGTGATCGGACGGAGGCGTAATGCTGCAGCATAGTAGGTTCTTTGTAAAGTGTTGTTATACATTGTATGATAAGTTGCATTCTTGTATGGCGCAGGGATGAGAATATTCTTTTCAGATACCCGATGGATAGGTGATTCAGTTTGGTTTCTTGTTGGATTCAGAAGACGAACGAATGATTTCGGATAGCCGTTTTCCTGTAATGCGCTATACACATTCTCCTGTTCGTTTAGTATTGTGTGCTCCATACATATTTCACTCGCCCTTTGGAGCAACGTTCGAACCAGGGCTCTCTTGTGTTCCATTGAAGAGAAACTGTTGAAGTAAGGATACAGTCCGGACCAAGTCTTCTTGCGGAAGATCGATCGCTTAGAGCAAACCAATGTTGTGTGTCCAGAAGCGTATGAACTTTAGACTTTGCCTTCCCTGGCTGTAACCAATCATATGCATCGCACACACACACGCATACAATAAAACTTGACTAAATTTCTTGATTTAATGCATCTGTCTATCTCATTCTATGTTATACGTAAGCAACCGATGCGAGTATACGAAAGGAATTCCTCTCGCAGTGTTTGTCTTCTGACTTCCCTGTATATATGTTGGTCTGGATTGAAGATTTTATCACATCAAGATGATAGATGGCATTACATCATTTGAGAAACAATAGGGAAAAAAATAAACGGACCTGTTAATCATTCTTCTAATGTCTGTAAATGAAAACAATAAATAAACCTGATAAAAGGTGAAACTCCATAGAACAAACCCCTCAACATGAATAAACCATAGACTAAGTCGTCGGCAATGAAATAATAATCACCTCAGATACGGAATCACGGTCGACAACTTGGCTTCGATCCAACCATTTTTTCAAGCTTTGCTGAATCCATCGTGAATGATCCGCGCTTGTCTTCTCATCGTCCGAACTCACTGGTCTCCGGTTAGTTTGTTCTGTTCGTTTGATTACCGGTGGTGAATCACGATTCCAACGCCTCCTCCACTGATGTGTTTCCGGATGAAGACGTAAATCGACAGTATTACAGAACATGGGTTTCGGTGGCACATCTACCAATTGAACCTTCCTAGTTGCTCCGGCCATCTCGTTCATTTTATTCACAAGCTGACGCATGCGAATCTGTTGCGCGGACGAGGACTCGTCACTCTGATCCTGGACGGTTTGACTTCGACGACGAAGTCGTTCACGAGGAGGTGTTTGCACAGCTCGGCGAACACGTTGATCCAGCTCAGCATACAGCCTTCCCCGCAAACGTTGCCTCCAGTTGTCATACTCGTCTGCAAAACAGAACTTGAAACTTATCATTCTAACAAAGAACAACTGATGACTATAAGTATGCAATCAAAATACTTTGGTAGCAGAAAATATCAATAAATATAACCGTATGAAATTATCTCTCGTCTTCAGTTCTGTAATATTTAATGGTGCAATCAACTTTAGGGAAGAAAAAGAGATCAATAGATTGCTGTTTTGTGAACGCGGATAAATGGAAAAATTAAGTGGTGGTTACCTACAATACGAAACTGACTTGTACCAGTTTCCAACTACTACGGTCTCTTCTGACACAACCAATTACTCCAGGTATCTTTTATTCTTAACGGCCATTAACCCTTTATACCATTTTGTCTTAAAATGTTCTTAACAAAACCAAGGGAGGAATATAATCTATAAAAACAGCTTTAAACCGGTTAGGGACCATTGAGTATTTCACCTCAGTTTTGAAAATCCCTCTTCACTTACGCACTAAAAGGAAACCAGAATAGCAATGCAAAATTTCATACAAAACACCGCATTTATAATATGATTCACCTATACAAAAAAGGTCGAAAACTATTGATTATTCAAATCAAGTATCCTGAGCCTCGTTGGAATAGCGCCAACCTACCCAAGAACTAAATTGAAGAGCATTGGCCAACACCCCTGATTACAATGCACGTCACCTATGATCCTAACAGTTTTCAGTAAAAAATAATTTCATTCAAATTTCAAATTTCAAATTTTTATTATGGGATATAACTTACAAAGACTTCGCTTTTACAAATCCCATAGGGTTTGGTTCGGATGACGATTCACAATATCACAGTTAGTCCATGGAAGTAAACTAGTAAACTAATGTTTTCACGAGCACAGGAGAATATGTTATGTAGTTGGGTGCACCGGAAAATATTGCACTTACCTGGTTTCGTGATCGCTTGCTTTTTGGCTCTTTGAAATGCAAGAACCTCATTCTCCCACTTATCTCGACTCCGCGGGGTGTAGGGTACATGTGCATGCTCTACGAATATTCCTGAATCGGAACTGTGTTCTGGGTTGGAACTTCCTATTGAATCATTCTCCTCCTCCTCCTCCTCTATGTCCTCATCTTTGCACACGGGTTTTTGCGTTTGATGTTCACTGTCAATGTTTCTCATCGTGGGTAGCGGTCTGTTGAACTCTTCCTCAGGACTCACCTTCCTGTGCTGTAATTTGTCCGATTGAGTCCGTATGGAGCCTTTGCTTCGTCCGGTATCTTGTTTGTCCTGTTGCATTGGCTTTGTTGAGACTTTTGTCCTATTGATAATGTGATCTGGGATTTGTGAACTTTTTTCAGGGGCATACATCCTCAAGTTCGCCGACTTCATTTTGACTGCCTAAAACGATAGCGGTTTTCGAAAGGTGGAAGAGAAGAGGCGGGTAAGTCATATTATTGCCGATTACAGCAGAATGGGGGGAAGAGGATTTTGCGTATAATTAATCAATGATTGGACCGGAAAAAACACTGATAAGAATAGAATGGCCTTACCGTTTAGTAACGATATCATTTTGAGTGAATGATAACCTATAATTACAGGGACGCACTCAGACTGCATCAAAGTCCACAAAAACCCGTCAACTTAAATAATTTCTTATTCGTGAGCTGCAAAAGTTATCTGGATAAGTTATACCAAGTGAAATTTAATACATTTAGATTGCAGGTTTATGTAAGTTTTTCCGTCGTTTCATTCGTTACATCTCGGATTCAAGTGGGTTAATTTTTACACATGCAGTGATTGGATTTGTCTAATATCCAACGAGCATTCAACGAGCCCTGTAAAACCTCTCGAAAATGACATCTTCCTTGCTGTGTATTTGAAACCGGTCAGAACGACATCTGACTCAAATTTCGTCGTTCTGCACACAACAAACGTGATGACCTTGAATATTTGGTAAGTAGTGCTAAATTCCATGATATGCTTGTGTAGATCTGACTGGACTTGGTGCACTATTGGAAATGGCGTTTAATTATCTATAGTGCAATGGTGTTTTACTCCAATCAATTGGGCATTTGTATTTGCATCGAATTGAGCACTCGACTAAGTGATACCCGCTGATATGAGACAAAACTACTATAACCGAAGGAATTAAATCGCAGATTTTTCTAGGGGAGCGCCTCAGAATATTGTACAAAAGCACTGTCGAATGGCATTTTATGGAACCTCAGAGCAACACCTGAGCCAGTCGAGTCCGGTGTAGTGTGTGTGTGTGTGTGTATGCAAAAGCAACCAACCTATCCTTTCAGTCTACCTTGTTATCGATCTCAAACACACTTATCCATCTGTCAACCCGAGTGCACTAGTTCTTTTATTCGATTTATTTGAAATCATAGCTAAATATTGAAACTGGGGTAAGTAACTGTACTACTTGCTCTTTTCGTAACACCGGTCTACTTTCTGTTCCCGTGAAGCAACACAGAAAAGTTGCCATAAAAACATATCCTACCAAAAAAGGAAGGCTTCTTCAGCTGATTTGTGCTAAACTGCGTCGGTTTTCATATATGAATTGATAAACGACATAATTCCAAATCGGTATTTTCATTGTGTTTGATTAAGCGAAAATGATTTCTATAGAAATTTGGTAAATTCATCGGAATCGATTTCCGACGGACAGACAGAAACAGATATATATATTAATATATATATATATATATATATTAATATATATATATATATTAATATATATATATGAACTGGATAGATAATTTCCAATTATTTTGGGTGACTTATAAAACATTTATCTTTATAGATAAATTGACGTTGGAGAAAAAATTACTGAGAACAAAATCATTTCACTTTTTGGATTTTGTGAAGGAACTGTGACCAGTATAGCAAGAACACTTAAGAGACCCGGGGCACAGAAAGATTCCTTTGGCATATTGGGAATAAATCAAGAGATTGTTAGACCGTAAAGAACTACACTATTATTTGCTTGAGCCTTGGATCTATTTTCCTACCTTGGTGTACAACAGCTAAATTTGTTGTCTTTCGATAAAAACATAAACAAAACGTATGAATAGCAATTGACGACCCAATAAGTTCAATCTCACCTGACCTATTTATCACTTGTTTGGAAATCCCAGTGAATTATATGCCCCAGTCAAATAAGAAAGATAATTTGATAAAATTCACAGTGACCACAAGTGCAAAGCAGATTAGACCACTGTTGAAATTCGAGAAATAATCTCACCCGTTTATCCCATTTACGCTGAAAAAATAAATCAAACAACTAACTACCTTTATTAGTCATATGCAGCAGTCTCCAACAAGGTTGCTCATTTTTCACATACATCTATGGTAACCCTATATAAAGTGGACTAGTTTTAAACGGAACCTCTGTTGACTGAGCAAAACTAGTGCGTACATCATTTGATTTTGTAGGCGAACTGGCTCGAATTTAGAAATCACTGAGATACACTGGTATCCCATCGAAAATAATCTGCTGGCCTGGAAAGTTACCGCGCAGCAAAACATGATTAGGCCAGTCTGGATACTTAAATTTTAAATGCCATAAAACGTTGGTCATTAAATAACAAACACAAATCGACGTTTGTTTATGAGCACTTTGTTGCTGACCCCTTTTATACGGTAGTACGTTGTGATAAATCGTGGATACCAAATTCGCCGATGAAAGAGGTTTTTTCACCCCTACCAGGTCAAATGTGATTTACGCTCCAGAGTCTGTGCATCAAACAATCTACATAGGCAGAGTCGATGAATGCTCATCCATCGGAGCCAGGTTGATTTTAAAATGAGATCAATTCATATTAGTATAATACAGCCGGCAAACAACCAAAAGTGTCCAACACAAATTTCATCTAAATAAATCGCGTAATCAGATTAGCTTAGGTTATTTTTATTCCGTGCCATTTGTCACGCAGGTAGGGATCAAGACCATTGCGAGCGATCGATGGCGTCCCATCACCACACACTTTTCAATTAATAGAGAATATTTTTACTCGCAAGTCAGCCCGTAACCTGCATGGTAAACCTGACTTGGTGGGAGGCGTTCGATTGGAGCTAATAGAGTGTGTCATCTGTGTCTCCCTTCGTTGATGTCTAGCCAAATGAACTGACCGACTATCACTGAGAACAGCACCTGAACAAACATTAATTCGGAATTTGGTTCAGTGGTGGAATGAGCTGGTTGGCACAGTGGTAACACACCTTTCATACGACGGGTCAGAAGTTCAAATCCCAAACGGGACGGTGGATTTGCACTTCTGATGAGCTATAATAAGAGCGAGTCTAGCGCTTCCGATTGTCTGGTGGAATCGATGAACTGAGAATCGTGCGTGAAGGTGAAGTCCGAAGGATAGTTAGTCAAATCAATCTAATTTTTATTATTCTGGCTCAGTCTTGATATTAAAGATTCGAAGCAATTCGATTGATTTTGAGCTTGCCATACACAAGCTTCATTCGGCAATTGTCAGTTAGACTATTTCCAAAGGGTCTCCAAAATTAGTGATGCATTCTAAAATTCCTTTCAGAAAGAAAAGTTTTCAACGTGCAAATGTTTTTTTAATTGCAATAAAAACAGGCATTGGGGTATCACATATATCCTCGATTAAACCCAATGAAAAATTGAGAGAATACAATCACCTTGAGTAGCATAATTTATGTCTGCAGATATATATCCAAGCTACTACTGCTTCAAGTTTACGCTAAAACTTTGGAGGAAGCTGGACTGTAATGAATTATTTAATGTATCCTTTTTGCATTATTCCTGTATAATTTTACATGGATAAGCAAACATACCGAGTAGCATCTTCCTGGCTCTCCATATGGTACTCGCCACTAAATAGCTCTTGAAGCACTTTGCAGCGATTTCATCGTTGTATGGAGTCTTCATCAGTGCATACCCACTCAATCTAGCGGGTTTATACCCCAAGCACGGGAGTTTAATAAACTAGCACGTTAACTATCCGAGTCATCTAGGATGACTCTCAGTAGCTTGCTACCTGTCAACACTGTGATATAGTGTGCTCATCTGTTACCGGCGTTGAAAGCGTC